TGCAAGCCCACAGGGGTTAGAGCCGAGTACGTAGATCTGGGGGTGGTCCGTGTAGAAATGATCACTGAACCCATGTAAACCAATGAGATCTCTGAGAAAGTAGAGTTTCAGAGTGTCAATGAGTGGAACTTCCAGGCAAGCCAATCTCTTAGCAAAACAGGATTTATAGCTGGAAGAAACTGTAGACATCCCTTAATCTAATCCTTTCATTTTACAAATGAGAAAATTGAAGCCCATAAAAGACAAGTGTGTTGTCCAATCTTATGTATGTAGTAAATAGTAAAGGAAAATTCAAACCCAGCTCCTCTGACTCCAAATCCAGTACTTTTTTCATCACCCCACACTGCCCTGTTTGGGCTCAATATGATAGCAATCAGATCTGTACAACAATGTGAAGGACGTGTTAGGAAGTGAGTTCCCTATCACTAGAAGTATCTGAAAGGCTAGACAAATACCCATCAAAGATATGGTAGAGGGGAAATTGAACTAAATGACCACCGAATCTCTTCTCCTATATTTTCAATTTTATTGTTTTCTCTCGTCCTTTCTTCTCCATGACTTTGTATTTATCACTTTCCTTCCTTCCTCTGTCACTTCTCTACCCTCCAAATTTGCTATAAGACAATTAAAATCAAAATATGAAACCAAAATATTGGTTGTATTCATTTAATAAAGTTTTCTTTTCTGTTCTTATTTTAAAGAGCAAGAGGCATCATTGTGTAGTACAGAGGCAGCCTTGAAGGCAAGGACATCTGTGTGATCCCTAGCAAGTCACTTAACTGCTCAAAAACTTGTAAGTTGCAGAGAAGGTGCCAACTTGCATTGACAGTTTCCTCATCTGGGATTTCCCTATACCAATGCAAGAACAGGTAAGTCTAGTCTTTTATATCTGTTTCTCAAAAAAAAAAAGCTAAATTATTTTTTACTTCCATATGGTTCATGATTTTCCTCCGAGTGTGCCAGATCTTAGAAGAAAAAAGCTATCCACTCCAGAAATGAGATTTTTTTTTAGGATGCTGTGATATTTACATAATTCACTCAGAAAATGTTTTAAATATATCACTTCATTTTCGTCTCATTTCTTAATATTCTGCCTTCATAATGTTTCTCATATGTACTTCTTTATGTTCCCTAGTCCAGGCTCATATCCCAATATGCCTGGATTATTCCAGTGGCCTAACTGGCTTTTACATTTAATATAGCAGACACAAAGGAAAGTACTTTATAGTGGCATGCTGGACTCAAAGACAGGAAGACTTGGGTTCAAGTCCCACCTGTTACTTACTGCTTGTGTGACCCTAGTCAAGTCACTTCACTTTTCTGAGGTTTAGGCAACTCTCTTGAGACTTGGGATTAGAGGATCATAGATTTAAAGCTGGAAGGGCTTTGGAGGTCAAATGGTCCAAACTCATTTTACAGAGCAAGAATCTGAGCCCCATGGAGGGGAAGGGCCTTGCTCACAATCACACAAGTCATAAGCGGTGAAATCAGGATGCAAACCTAGGTCTCTGCCACTCCACCCTGCTGACTCATCTGCTACTTAGAGCCAGACTGAATCCGTGTCTGGGAAGAGAATTTCCACAGGTCCAACCCGGACATTCCTGTATCATAGATCTTTGACTGATGAATGTATGTAGACACAGTGATCAGTCAACGAACAAGCTCTTATTAAGCATCTACTACGTGGCAGGCACTGTGCTGGGGATACAAACAGGAATCAAACAGTGCTTGCCTTAAAAAAAAGCTTGCAATTATATGAATAAAAGAACGTTATATACACTTTTGTTTCTAAACTAACAAAGGGCCTCGTAAAGCTGGGCACCCACGTGGCTCCCCCAAGGTTTTTCTCAGGTTTCTCCTTTCCCTCTTTCCCTCCCTCCTAACGCGGAGAGGACACCGGAGGCCCCGCCCCTATCCTCAGCCGCTCAGGAAGCTGACTGGCCGAGCCCACGAATGCATGCCGAGCTTCCCCGGGGTTGGCTGGCTGCCCACGGAACCTCTGGCTCCGGAGAGCGAGCTGCCAGGCGCCGTCCTCAGTCCAAAAGGAGGACTCCCGCCCGGCCAGGAACTCACCCACCAGAGGCGGGAGGGAGCCTAGGGCGCAGCCGCAAAGAACGAACATGCGCACGGGACAGCCATACGCGCGGAACGTGCGCGACGCCCTCGAGAGTGTCTCGCGTGGGGTCGCGGGCTGCTGAGCGGGCCTTTCCATTGCCGCTCTAGGATACGTGGAGGTCTTGGCGTCTCTGTGGTCTCTGTGGTCGGCCGGAAGACAAGCCCACCGAGAAAAGGGAAACGGGTTGGAGAGGGCTGAGATAGGCTGGGAATTTGACATGGAGTGTGGAAATACATATGAACTGATGCAGAGGGATATAGCAGAACCAGAAAAACAATATAAACAAAGACAGAAATATATGGAAAGGAACAAACAAAAAAAACCAACTGAATGATCTAGGTCAGGGGTGGGGAACCTGCGGCCTCGAGGCCCTATGTGGTCCTAGGTCCTCAAGTTCGGCCTTTTGACTGAGTCCAAGTTTTACAAAACAAATCCTTTTATTGAGGACCTAGAAGGTCACATGGGGCCTCCAGGACACAGGTTCCCCACCTCTGGTATAAAGAATGCCCCAAAGAGATTTTTTGAAAGTACACCCCTTTCCCTTCTCTACAGTGGTGGGGAACTATCAGGATACTGTTTAATGTTGGACTTATTTAATGTATTGATTACTTTTGCTGAACTGTTTTTTTCCTTCTTCAGAAAATTATTTGCAATAAGGGATGGGACTGGGGAAGGGCAAGGAGAAAAGGACATATTGGGATATTAGGTGATATCAAAAACATACTAATGCAATCTTTAAAAAATTGTCTGGCTGACTCAGTTCAGGCCTTCTGGGGTTCTATAATGGTGGAGTTGATGGGGTGCTTGGGTGCTTGTGCTTGTGCTTGTACTTGGACCCCAATTTCTCTCTAGTCTCAGAAACACTGTCTCTGACAACCACTCCCCAGCCCAAGGACACTGTGCCTAGCAGTTATTATGCGTGGGCCCCAGCAAGACTCTTATCTCTCTCCCTGGTGCAGCTACACAAAGCCGGGGGAGAGAGTGCTGGGCTGCTCAGGCCCCAGCCCTCAGATGTCTCTGGAAGCCTCCCAGTTTCTTAGTAAGTTCCTGTCTTGTGAGAAAGCTTTCCCTTGTTGCAGAGCATTCTCTCATCAAGACAGAGGGAGAGGGGTGCCTTGGCTGGCCCAAGGACTCTTCCTCCTGCCAGACTCCAAAGATCCATACTTCTGTCATCTCCCTCCCTGTCTGGTATACTCCCTGTACTTTCTCATCCATAGCCCCCAAAGACATCTGAACCTTTAGATTATTACCTCATCGGTGTCCCTGGCATTCCTTTCCCATGCCCTTTTCCATATAAACCCTAGCTCCATCCTCAGTCTCTTGCAGGTTTCTTAAGAATCCTTGCCCGCTGAAAAGTGTAACAATAAATCTTTGCCACCTTGATTTAAAGAATGCTTGAGTCTGTGAATTCATTCCAGACGACCCGTCCTGTACTCCAGTCTTTGAGGGGTCTCAACCTCTCAGACCGCAGCAGAGGCACCACCATTTAGCTTCCCACCCTCTTTCAGCTTCACAGATCCAGAAACTAGATTTTACTATTTCAGGAGTAAGCAGGGCCCTGGTAAATTCCTTCCCATTAACAAAACACAAGAAACTGATTAAACTAAGGTGCCCATTTGGTAGTTTATAATAATTATATGACAACATTGTAAAAACAACAATTTGGAAAGATTTAACTCTTATCAACACAAGGAGTAACCACAACCCCAGAGAATCAATGATATACTCCTTGCCTAACAAAGTGGTGGTGGATACAGGGTATGGAATGAGATACACTTTTTGGACATGGCCAGTGTGGGGATTTGTTTTGCTTAACTATGCATATTTGTTATATGGGTTTTATTTTTCCTTCATTTTTTTTTCAATGAGGAGAGATGAGAAAATATTTTTTTATTATAAAAAAAATATTGAAATTTAAAAAAGGATGTGAGCTGCCCATGCACATGGGTTGTCTAAATGTGGATTAGGGGAAGGCATGGACAGATATCTCTGGAATCTGGGCCATCCCTCTTGAGAGATACAAGGAAAATTTTTGTTCCCATAAATTTGAAGCAAACAGCTAGAAAAGTAACTAAGTAAAACAGGATACAGTAGGTCTCATGTTTTGCTGATAGAAGTTAGTTAATCAGAACAAAAGATTCCATAAAATTGAAACAACTGCTAAAAGTAACTAGGTAAAAATAGGATAAATCTGGTCTTATCCTGTTTTGCTGATAGAAGTTAGTAAGTAGGACAAGGTTAAACTTTGCTTAGAGTGTGCATGTGTAATAGACTTATAAATATTAGATTCTCCACCACCAGGAGGGGCTAAGACACCATTTTCTGAACATGGGATGTATGAAGAAGGACAGATGACATGTCAAGGAATAGATGTGTAATAGGCGTACCAGAAAGTTGTACACTCTAGAGTACTCAGCCAATGAGGAAACAGAGGAGGGACTTTGCGGCCCGGATTAGAGATAAACACCTGCTTTGGTACAGTGTGTCCTAGTCCATAGGACACCTGAGGTTGCAACTACATAATAAATTGGGCTTTTAACTTCATCCCTCCTGAGTCCAAATGAGTTATTTCTCACACTCTCCAACAGAGATTTTGATATTTGCCTGGATATGAACAGAAGTAGATATATGGTTTCTCTGTGTCCATTCTCTGTTTTCTGCTGAGAGGTGGTACTGGATTAGAATTATATCTATCTGCCCCCTCAAATATTTCAGGTCTAGGAGAAAAATTTGTCGTTGTTGTTGAAAAGTAACAAAGTCACTAGCTTCCCTGATCACCGTCCCTTAAAGGGGGATCACTCAAGATTTCTTTTTTTCAAACTTGACTCCTTTCCATCAAATGCTAGTTACACAAAAGACCATCACATGTAGTGATTAGAGTAAATCCATTTATCCAAAGAGAGAGCAAACAGAAATCAGAATTATACAGAGTAGAACATAACAAGAAATACATAAGAGTAAATGAGCTCTCTAGACGAGAGCCACTTGAGACCTTGCTCAACCCAGAGAGCAACCTATCTCACCCAAGGGGAAGTGCACTAGTCTCCAAGAAAGCAAACTGAAAATTATCATGTTAAGGAACCAGCTTCTCCTTACATGTCTACAAGAGAGTCTTTCACTTTCTTCTCCCTGGAGTTGGTCCTAAAGAGAATTTAGAACTACATGTGCCTATCTCTCAAAACAAAAATAAAGAACGTCTCTCCTCTCCAAAGCTCTTGAGCCAACTCATATAGTCAGTCAGTCACGCAGGGTCTTGTCTGCTTCTCTCCACCATATTAGGAGTCACACCTCAGCTTGAAACCCAAATTAAAAGTACAGCTGTCAGAAGGAAGCCTACTTAGAAAACCAAAAGGTTTGTTTGTTGAATCATGGCAGAGGACACTAGATGATTTTGGGGCCACTATCTTTGGGCTGACAGTCTGATACACCATTACCCACTGCTAAGATTATTCATAGCAAATTCCTTAATTTCCAACCCGAGTGATAGATAAAGCAAACTTTTAAGTTTACTGCTTACTAATGATGTATGCGGAAGCATCTTGGTTTCAGCAGCAAATCATCTCCAAATTATACTGTAGGATGGGTTGTTCTTAGAAAATTTTCCTATACTTAGTGTTTCCCAATTAGCTCAATTTACTGGAAATACATGGTGATAAAAAAAAAGAGCAGACTACATCACAATGACTATAGATAGGCACTGGGAAGGGAATTTGGGAAAAGATGCAACTTTATCCCCATCCACACTGTGTACATCCTTGCTGGTAGGGAAGGTTTTCCCACATCGACTGCATCTAGTTTCATCATAGCTAGTTTCAAGCAGACTTAGCTGTTCAAGACTCTTCCTGACTCCTGGCTACATTTAAAAAATCTTTTTCTTCAACCTGTTGTTCTCTGTCCACTGACTGATACTGTACAAGGTACAAACTTCCTCTCACCTCTCTCCCTCATTCATAAGGTTTTACTCCTTTTTGAAACTTGGTAGTTAGTAAAATAAAATCATCACTTGAAGATTTCTCATATTGATCACTTTTAGAGAGATTTTTTCATATATGAATACTGCTTCATAAAGTTTTCATGGACCTGGAAAGCTTTAATGCAACTATCACAGAGTGGTTTTCTTTTGCTGCTGCATTTAAATTCTTGTTTTATAAGGTCTAAAGAGCTCCTGAAAATTTTGCTCCTTAATTACATACGTACATTATTTTTGTCTGTATTGTCTGTCTGGTGACTTAATTCTTTTTGTAGATTTCTAATTTGTTACGTTCCAGAGTTTCTCTCCGACATAAATTCTTTGATAGCTAATAAGGTTATATGAATATGGTAAGTCTAAGGCTTTGCTCACATTAATAGAGTTTCACTCCACTATGAACTTTCCAGTGCTTAAGAAATTCTGACCATTTAAGGCTTTAATAGTCTTAGCATTTTTCTCCACTATGAACTTTCTAGGTTATTTGATGTTAGGTAAGTTGTGAGCTCTGGTTTCCCCAAATTTATGACATTTTTTCCCTTCCTATATGCATACTCCAATGTATAGAAAGGCCTGATTGCTCCCCTAAAATCTTCAGTACTTGTTTATGGGGCTTTTCTCTTTATAGAATTGTTTGACAAATAGTAAGGCCTGAGCTCATTCTCAAAGCCTTCCCACATTTGTGTTTTTCTCCAAATGCATTCTTCGATGTTTCATAGGTCTCAAGGCCCCTTGAAGATTTTTGCACATTTGTTACTATATACTTATCACCTAGATGAATACTGTTATTTTTAATAAAACCTGAATGTGCCTTATAGCCTTACCCATATTTGTCACAATTATAGGGTTTTTCTTCCATGAGTTCTCTGGTGGCTAATTCGAAAAGCTTTCCCACATTTCTTATACCCATAGGGTTTTGCTCCTGTATGAATTTTCTGATGTTTACTAAGGTCTGAGTTCCCCCTGAAGGCTTTCCCACATTTATTACATACATAGGGTTTCTCTCCTGTGTGAATTCTCTTATGTTCAATAAGGTCTGAGTGCCCCCTAAAACTTTTCCCACATTCATTACAATGATAGGGTTTTTCTCCTGTATGAATTCTCTGGTGGCTAATAAGGCCTGAACTGACCCGAAAGGCTTTCCCACATTCATTACATTCATATGGTTTCTCTCCTGTATGAATTCTCAGGTGTTTGACAAAATCTGAATTCACCCTGAAGGCTTTCCCACACTGCCTGCATTCATAGGGTTTAGCTCCTGTATGAATGCTCTGATGCTTAATAAGGTCTGACTGTGCCCTGAAGCCTTTGCCACACATGTTACACATATATGGTTTTTCTCCTGTGTGAATCCGATGGTGGCTAGTAAGGCCTGATCTAATCCTGAAAGCTTTGCCACATTCTTTACATTGATAGGGCTTTTCTCCAGTATGAATTCTCTTGTGTTTAGAAAGGTCTGAGTGTCCCCGGAAAGCTTTCCCACATTTGCTGCATCTATAGGGTTTTTCTCCACTATGAATTCTCTGGTGTTCAATAAGGCTTGATTTTCTACTGATGGTTTTGCCACATTCATTACATTCGTAAGGTTTCTCACCACTATGAATTCTCTGATGTTCCAGAAGGCTTGAGTTCCTGTTGAAGGCTTTCCCACATTCATTACATTTATAGGGTTTCTCTCCACTGTGAATCCTCTGATGCTCAAGAAGGCTTGAGTTCCTACTAAAAGCTCTCCCACATTCATGACATTCATGGGGTTTCTCTCCACTGTGAATTTTCTGATGTTCAAGAAGGCTTGAGTTCCTGCTAAAGGATTTCCCACATGTATCACATTCATGGTTTTGTTCTCCCTTGTGTTTACTCTGATGTCTCATCAATTTTGAACCCTGCCTGAAGCAATGGTGAAATGAATCACATATCTTAGATTTCTTTTGGACAGGATATCTCTGTTGTGTAACAGAGTTTGAACCAATGTCACTTTTAATGCATTTATGCCCTCTTGTTACTTTAAGGCCACTGCTATAAATACCAGTCACCTGCTCGAAATCAGTCTCTTGGAAAAGAGGGCTTCTCGGTTCCTCCTTCAGTGTGTTTACACGATGTTGGTCTAATCTAGCATCACTGTCCAAATTTTCTTCAATGCTATGGCAAATGGTCCTTGGAACTTTCGCTGATAAAATCCTTTGCGCTTTGCCTTCTTTAGCAATGTCTTGCTTTGGAATAGACACTTTATTCTCAGACCCATAATCTGAAATGATACAAAGAAGACAGTAATTTCACTGTTTCTTTTGTTGGGAGAAAGGAACAAGGTCATCTGAAAGAAGGGACGAGATCACTGAATGAAGTAATGGGTCTTTAAAATTTTGACTATATTCTGTGGGAAGGAGGTGGTAATATTAGGAGTAGAGAGGGATTGGGGCCTCTGCTTTCATTGGAATAGGAAACTCCCAGTGAGAAATGCTCACACCAAATGCAAATCATCAACAACTATTTAATTTATAGTCTTAGAATTGCCTAGGGTACTCAGAGGTTAAAGTGACTCACAATGAATCACACAGCCAATGTGTTAAAGGTAGGATTTGAACCCAAGGCTTCATTAATCTGAGGCCAGCCCTCCATCCCCTATACCATGCTGCATTCCATATAGTCACCCAAACCAAGTAAATATGAACAAGGTCACAGTTATCTAAGGAATGAGAATGAAACAAGCAAGCCACAGAATAAAAATATTTAGGAATGAGTAACAAAGAACAAAATAAATCCAAAGGATGAAGAAGAGTCTTGTGGTTGACATAAAATGGATAAAAGAGGCAACAAAGGGCAGGAAAGGGAAAAGAGAAGGCGAACTCGATGAAGATGAGATTTGAAAGAGTGTGAGAGTGATGCCCAATGGAAGTATGAAAAGATAAGCCTGAGCATAGATGAAGGGCAATTATGGGAGCAACTGTTTTCTTCCATGAGAAACTGCTGTTGTAGTTGGAAGAGCACTGGATTTGGAGTCAGTAGACCTGGTTTCGAATCCTGGCACTGTCACTTATCAGCTAAGTGACTTCGGGCTAGTCACTTTATGGTCCAAATAAGTGAGTGGAACTAAGTGCTGCACTGCTGCTTTGGCTTAGAAAGGGGGTATGTATACCCTTGTGGATATCTCAGTCATGATGATATGAAAAAGTAACCCTGGAATCTGAGACTGAAAAAGGAGGTCACAGGATCATAGAATTTAGGGTGGGTAGGCTGAAGTGGTACTGGAGATTCCTCTCCATCCAATAACTTAAGACTGCCCCTACCTTAATTCACCCAGTCTTATTCTTCTTGACTCCCATAGATGTTTATGTTGTTCCCTCACTCACCAAAACAAATCACTTGAATCTTCATTCTGGGCAGAAATGGCACACATGGTATTTCCCCTCGCTCCAGCTGAGAGATTAGGTCTGGTTTGGGAATTGGAAATCCTGATCATGAGAAAGGAAGCAGATTATAGCCGTTTGATTTTAGGACAGAGAGACATGGCAGAGCTCAACCCCAGACACCCTCCCTCTGAAATTACCTCCAATTTATCCTGTATATATAGTTAGAATGTGAGCTCTTTGAGAACAGACCATCTTTTCCCTTTCTTTATATCCCCAGTGTTTATTTAGCATGGTACCTGGCACACAGTAGGCACTTAATAAATTCTTATGACTTGTTGACAGACACTGTATGTTTAGGGATTGGGTGAAAGAAATATACATAGAAATATCTCTCTACAGGGACTTCAGGACTGTTCTACCTAGAAGGGGCAGTGGTAGGCAAGGGATTGCAATGTCAAGGAGCAGATGATCTGGGCAGAGAAGAACAATTTTTTTTTTTTGTCTTGGGAAACTCTCGGGTCTTGAGATATGGACATTGAGAATCACATTCACAGAATCCAGAAAGCTTTCCTATAGGGACTCACCGGGGGTGGGAAGAGGCAGACCTAGGGATGGTTGCAGGATGCACCCAATCTCCACCTCTATATCAAATGAAATAATATTTATAAAACACTTAGCTAGTGCCTGGAATTATATAAATGCTTATTCCTTCTCCTTCCTCCTGCCCCCAGCCTCTGTAAAGGCTAAACCGATGACCTGAGACTAGGGAGCAGAAAAATGCCCTGATATAGGATGCAACAAGAATTGGGAATTTTCATCCCTGAAGCTCAAGTTCACTGAGTGCATAACAAATCTCAGAAATAAGGTAGAAACTGCAGAGAGGTCACAGGAAGCAAAGGATCAGAGGATGAGAGCTGGGAGTCCAACCTCCTCATTTTACAGATGAGGGCACTGAAATTGGAGGAGATAAAGTGACTCACTGCCCTTACCTGTAAAATGAGGAGGTTCTAGGACTCCAAATCCTTTTGCAGGGGAGGCAAGATCTGGATGCATGGCACAATATCAATTAGCAGCAAAGAGCTCATGTGATTTTAGGTTAATGTCTGAGAGGCAGAATACCCAGGATCAGGGAGTTGACAGTGGAGTTGTGTGTGGGTGGCCTAGGCAGACCACATCTGAAGCATTCGCTTAGTTCCAGGTGCCTCACTTTGGGAAGGACACAGGTAAACTGGAGAGAATCCAGAGAAGGGAATGGATCAGAGACTTAAGAATTGGAAGGAGACTTTCAGGCTTCCAGCCTCCAAACCTCTTCATCTTACTGATGAGGGAAACAGAGGCATAGAGACGTCAAGTGTCTAATCAGCTAACAAGTCACATGGCTAATTAAGTGTCTAAGGCAAGATTTGGGCACAGATCTGCTTCACTCTAAGTCCAATGCTCTCTGCATTAAGGCAATGTTGCCTCCAAGAAGGTGAAGAGCCTTTGAGATCACGCCATATCAGGATGGAGGGAAAGAACTGGGGAACTTAGGAAGTGAGTATTTCAGAAGGACAAGTCAGGTATCTGGAGGGCTGTCACATGGAACAGGGATTTGGATTACTCTTCATGGCCCCAAAAGACAGAACTAGGAGTAACGGGTAGAAGTTGATAAGATGCAAGAAGCTCAAGGTCAGGGAAAATGTCCTAGCATTGAAGTAGGCTACCTCAGGACTCAGTGGGTTCCTCCTCAATAGAATCCTCCTAACAAAGTCTGGGTGACCAGATATCTATTATGCTGTATAAGGAATTCTGGGTGAGCTAAGGGCCTCTGAGGCCCCCTCCAGTTCTGAGAGTCTGTGATTCTGGAGAACGTTCAGAAAACCAAAAGAACAAGGATAGCACAAAGTTACAGAGAACCAGAGAGGAGAGGCCTTCAAAAAAGGGGTGGACAACAGTGTCAAATTAAGAATTACATACGCACACACAAACCACACACATACACATATGCAGAGCCATTGGACTGACTGAGGTCATAAGTGACCTTGGAAAGAACAAGCAAAACAGGTTTGACCATATTCCCCTTCCACTCAGTATGGCTCCCTAGTACCTCTAGGATAAGATATAAATTCCTCCATTTGGCATTTAAAGCCATTTACTACCTGATCTTCTTACACTTTCCTCCTCCACAGAGTCTATGAGACTACTACACTGACTTCCTTACTGTTCCTCAAACAGTATGATTCCATCTCCTGACTCCACGGCAGAGGCACTGGCTGTCACCCCCTGTGCTCAGAATGCTCTGCTCTCTCACCCCCTTACTGCCTCTTACTTTCCATGGCTTCCTTCAACACTCAGCTCAAATCTCACTTTCTGCAGGAAGCCTTTCCTAATGTGCCCCAACTCCCACATCTGTTCTCACTCCATGCTAGGGCTTTCTTCCCATATTACGTTCAATCTATTATATATATTTATTGAATGTACATATTGTCTTCCCCATTAGAATATAAGCTCCTTGAGGATTATTTTTGCCTTTCTTTGTATCCCTAGCACTTGGCCCAGTGTCTGGAACACAGTAAATGATTAATAAATGCTTGTTGACTGACAGTTTCAATAGAGAGGTGGTCATAGAAGCCAGATTGCAAGGGATGAATGTTAACTGAAGAGTGTGGCAATGGAGTCCAATGAATGAAAAGAGCACTGGTTTAAGTGTTAGGAAATCCAGGGTCTAATGCCACCTCTGCCACTACCCAACTTCAAGACGTAGCCAGGTCATTTAACTGCCGCCATCCCAATAGGTAAAACGAACACATCATTGTAGCTGTACTATTACGAGAGTTCTACAGAACAAATTTCTTTAAAAAGATGAAGTTTAAGTTTTCAAGTTTACAAAGCTGAGAGGGGATGTTCTCACAGTCTAGAAATATCACCAACCCCCCCTCAGTTCAAGCAATCTGGTGCAGCACAAGCCAGAGAGGTTCCTAATTTACCTGTCAAGGAAACAGCTTTTGAATCAAGCAAATCAAATCCAACTTGGGAGAGCATCATGTCAAAAACTCCCATCCAAACTTGTCATGGATTACGCAGAAATAGTCTTGATAATTCTGTTGAATTTGTTACTTTGCTGCCATGTAAAGTCCTATTTATTTTCATTTGTCTCAAAATTCTGTTTCAGTCGCATGGGGGGGGCCCCTTGCTCCACAGGCCAAGTGAACTGTTTTTATGCTCTTCAGATGTTTCAACCTTGGATCACGTCCCATGTCTTGACCTTTGGCTCTTAATACAGGGTGTCCTAAAGTCTTAGTGTAGTTTTAAGCTATTAAAGCTATTAAAGCTTAAAATTTCACTAAGGCTTTCAAGATACTCTGTACTTAAAAGTTCTCATTTTAATGTTCTGTCCCTGTATGAAAACTCTCCCCTTTGATCATTCCAGGTGTCCCTTTCTAGACATTCTTTCCAGGTCATTAATTTCTTTAGGTGTGGTGAACAAGCAGTACATAGTAAGTAGTCCATGTAATCACTCTTAGTAGTTAGGTATAAGGACAGAATAGTATTAAAATCCTTCTAAAATGAAAAAAAAACTAACATTTATTTAGTTTAAATTTGCTCTTTGTAATTACTTATGAAGGATTTCTGGTAAAATATGGAAAAGAATTACAAAGGCTAAGAAGGCATGACACATGGGACATTATTTCAGAGAGTTGGGGGTCATTAATGAAGCTTTATCATTTCCCAAAGAATTTCCCTGTTTTCTTTCTCCTATTTAATTCTGAGTCCAACTCACTGTCCACTTGCAGTATCTATTCAATATACTATATATATGTGGATCTCTACCTTTATAGTGGTGCTGCAGTAGATAAAGTGCTGGGCCTGGAGTCAGGAAGACCTGAGCTCTCAACTACCCTCAGACACTGAGCAGCTGTGTGATCTTAGGCAAGTCACTTAACCTCTGTTTGCCTTAATTCACTAGAGAAGGAAATGACAAACCACTCCAGTATCTTTGCCAAGAAAACCCCATCAACAGTATTGGCATGATATGGTCCACAGGGTGACAGAGAGTCGACCATGACTGAATGACTTAACAACAATATACACATCCTACATATATGTGTGTGGGTATATGTATATCCACACACATATATACACATATGCATGTATATATGTATGTATGAATAAGTTCTATAAAATGTCCATCTAACTTCATGTCAACATTTGGACACTAAGCATTCTTCATTCGCTTGGTCTTTCCAATGTAGATGGTTAGTCAAACCCTTTGTGTGGTTATGGATTGTGTAATATTCTGGGGCTTAACATGTGGAAAATGGCAAGTCTCTGAAGGGAGATCTATACAAATGAAATCATAGATTTGCCAGAGAACCATATTATTTATTAAGTTTTTTAAATGCTTCTAATTTGTATGACATTTATAAGTCCATATTAGACAGGGCAACTATCACATTTTCTTAAAACACTCTCTTGATGCCACTGTCCAAACACAATACTTTCTTTGCATCCCCAGCACTTAGCACAGTGTAGGGCACATTGTTGTTGTTGTTGAGTTGTTTCCGACCCTTTGCAACCCCATTTGGGGGTTTTCTTGGCAAAGATACTGGAATGGTTTGCCATATGCTTTTCTAGCTCATCTTAGAGATGAAGAAACTGAGGCAAATAGGGTTAAGTGACTTGCCCAGGGTCACATAGCTGGTAAGTGTCTGAGGCTAGATTTGACCTCAGGAAGATGAGTCTTCCTGGCTCCAGGCCTCACATTCTATCCACTGCAGAGCCACTAAGCTGCCCTAGGGCACACAGTAAGCACTTAATAAATGCCTGTTGATTGATTATAGAATTTTTCACATAATTATGTTATTAACAAATGAGGAAACTGAAAACTAGTCTTATTTCCTGAGTGGGACTAGAGAGAACACTTACCTAGTAAAAGCACATTCCCATAATTCTCTAGCATCACGTCCCTATAGAGCCTCTTCTGTGCAGGGTCCAGTAGTGCCCATTCTTCCTTTGTGAGATATATGGCCACATCCTCAAATGTTACCAGCTCCTAAAAGCACCAGAACAGAAGTGAGGTCTCTCAACTTTACATGGCTAATTGGGGGGTGGGGGAGGGAAATGTATTAAAGAAAAGATGGATATAAGGTAAAGTGGGAAGCATACCTAATTAGCTGTCAGGGAACCTGAGTTCCAATTCCTGACTCAAAATATAAATAATAAGTTCTATAGATTGCCCATCTAACTGCATGTCACCTCATCACTACCAGCAACAACTGCTAACCAGCTGCCACCAACAGGCATATAAGCAGAAGAGCCCTGGGAGTGGTCCTGCTTCTAGCCCAGCCCTCACATCCATCATCCAGGGAGACAACTCCTATGGAGAAAGGTTCATCCATCCCCACCAAGTACCACCCAAATGACACTCACAGGGCAGGCAGGCCAGAGGGTACCCTGAGAGACTGGAGGCAACATATGCCAGACAGGTTAAACCACCACCATCACCGCCTTGACCACTATCTCCCTTCAGATTCTGATGGAGACACTCCAGAACCTACACCCAAGAGCCTCAGAAATAGCAAAGCCTTCAGGCTTCAGGCTGTATCCACAGCCATCATCCTAGGAAGCAACCCCTTGTGGAGATTTAGCCTGGCCACTGCTCCTGTGGGTACTATGGACAACAAGTTCTTGTGGCCAGAGTCCTTGGCACTGTCAAATGGTTTCACATCAGAAACTGACATGATTTTATCAGCAGAAATTACATTAGAAGTACTACCATCTACTTTGCCACTGTACCCAGAAGACCATGGCACCTTTGCATCTGACTTGCAGCTGAAACTGCCCAAATATGTCGTCTTCATTAGAATCTGAGTTCCTTAGAGCAGGGATTGTCTTACTATTCTATTTGTATCACCAATGCTCAGCACAGAAGTGGTCACATGTATTTGAATTTGCATTATTTGAAGTTATAATTATGTAAAATACAGTAATTGGGTCCAGGCCAATGGAAACATGAAGTGTAAATTCAAATAATGCAATCACTACAGAGGATTCATTATTCACACTAATTGGGACCTAGGGTTGTAGTAAGTGCTTAATACTTTCTTCATACATTAATTTTCTCCACCCATAAAATGCAGATAATAATAGCAGCCAGCAACCATCACCTAGCAACTCCTAATGTTAGAAGCAGGGGTTCTGGTTCGTGAAAGGTACATCTCTGAGAGAAAGATGTTGAGGTTAGATTCAACTGGCAGTAATGACAACTTGGGAACACTAGAGGGAGCCACAGCTCACCTGGGATCTGGCTGTCAGGGGAGCACCTGGCATCAGCTTGTCTCCTTTGCTTCTGCGCAGTTAGACGGAGCTAAGGAAAGTACAAAGCGTAATCAGTAAGATCAACCTTGCTCGATAGCCTCATTGCCCTCCCTCCCACCCAATTATTAAAATCTATTTAAACTGAGCTGATTCTGTGGCCCATTACAATGGTACAAAATTATGGTCCTCATTACTGCTTGACATTCCCTTTACTCTCCCTTATGAATTCTCATTCCCCAAAGCAATCATTCCAATCTTTTTTCTCTCCCTTCTCACACTTAAGCATGGCCCCACTTCCTACAGCTACACCCTCCTGATTTACTCAGAAGACTGAGACCATCTGACCTGAGGTCCCTTAACTCCCTTCCTCTTTCTTAAATCAACTTCATAGCCCTATCTCTCATTCGACAAAAATATTCATCACAAAGGTTCATCCCTCTATCATATGCCCTTAATGCCACTCCCTCCTGCCTCTTGTGGGATCCTGCAATCATTCCCTCTCTCCTGAATCTGTCGTCTTTCCCTTCCCATCTACCTAAAACATGTCCATGTCTATCTCACCCTAAAAGCTTCCCCATTAAACTACTATTCCACTTGGCCATTCCCTTTCCTTCACTGTCAAGCTCCTTGAAAAAGCTGTTGACACTCAATGCCTCAATTTCTCCACTACCAAGCTCTTGTGATCAGACTTCACCCCTACTACTGTAATGAAATTGTTCTCTGAGGCTACACAGATCCAAAGGTTTGTTTTCCAGTTCTCATCCTCCCTGACTGCTCTGTAGCATAACATTGACCACCTCCCTATTACTAGTATTCTCTCTTAGCTCACATAAGCTCACTTAGGGTGCCTTCCTAGCTCTCTAACCACTGCTTCTCAGTCTTTTTCACTGGTTCCTGTCATCTTCAGGTTGGTATTTCCCAAGGTTCTGTCTACGGACTCTAAGCATACCCTCCATCCTCTTTCCCTGGACAAGATCACTTCCTCCTAGAACACTGATTCCCAGACCTCCCCTCTGAGCTCCAATCATATCTATAATTGTCTATAGGGCAGCTTCAGTTAAATGTCCTAGAGAAGCCCCAAAATCAACATATCTAAAAATGGGCTTATCATTTCCTCCATTTAAACTTCTCATTCTTTTGACTTCACTAGCTTGGTGGCACCACCATTTACCCAAACACCCATTTAAAACTATGGAGTTCTCTTTGGCTCTCTCATAGCCAATGTCAGCAAACTTAATTATCTTAGCCTTTCTACTCCCATGTCCTGGTACTGATGCTCATTATCACCCAAGACTACTATAAGGGCTGCCTTACACATCTTTCTGCCACCATTTCCCCCCTTCTTCAATTTATCTGAGCCTAAAGTGGACTTGACCCATGACCATGCTGACATGTAATGAGTAATAAGACAGAGATAGAGAATAGGTACAGTCACCATAAAAGGTTAAAGCTTTAGAGGCAGGTTAAATCACATAAGCATCTAATTCCCCAACATACTCCCACCACCTTACCTCCTGACTCAATACTGACCACCCTTCCTGCCCAAATCTCTGCTGTCTCAGTTGGTTTCCATCTCAGCCTCTTATATTTTACTGCTCTGAATAATCTCTGATTTAGGATTGATTGGATATAGACTCCATTCTCACCCTCCTTCTCCAGAGAGGATTGCCTCCCCTGGGACTCAGTGCTTCTCTCTCTAATCACTGGCAAGTGAAAGTCAACTGATAATGGTTTACCATCCTTCTTCCACCCATGATGCTTTAATGACAATTGGAAAGAGGCTGCATCAAGAGATCTATTACACTTGAAGGAAATAATCTATTTCATGTTACAGTCAGCTGCTCTAAACTCTGACAGTAGAGTTCTAGAGTCATCTGGATTGTTGTGATAAGTGACAGGAATCCTTAAGGTTCCTGGTCCAGTGAAAGACATTTATGGACCTTCCCACCTAGGGATCCTAGGCTACCATCATTCTGTTCCGCCTAGTGAGACTACTTAGGATTCTGATAAGCCAACCCCTATTCTATTATACAGAAGAGCCTCATATTAGGCAATTTGGGGAACTCAGATACTTTTGAGCTCAATTCTACACCTCACTCATCACCCCAACCTGCCTCTTAAAGCAAAGACTACTAAGAGATTCACCAGCAGGGGTATTATAGTCTGGAAAAAAAAAAAAAAAAACACCTCAGTTGTTTCTGGCCCTCCTATTCTCCCTCCAAAAAGCTATCTATATCATAGACGTGTCTTCCTAGCCTGCTTGCTACCACCTAATACTCCTGCCCTGTAACCCCATTTATCTGGATATTCTATACCTGGAAGGTCCCAGTTTCCCAGCTAATACCTTGCTGTATGTGATTTGGGACCTGAGAAACCAACCAGCCCTGACTGATCCAGACCCCTTCCTTCCCTATAAACTCCAGGATTGCTGTTACTGAGCTTCCCCCAATTTATGAAGATACAAACAGGAGTCCAAGTGAAAGCTTGCTGCTACAGGATGCCAGTTCTGTTATAAACTCCCTCCCTCCTACCACAGGCTGAAAAGCACCTTATTTAAGGTCCTCTAACACCCCTGGTTTGTGTCCCTTCCCAGGCTTACTTGGAAGTCATCAGTCCCAGCTTGAGTGTGTATGTATGTGAGTTAGGTAGGACAGGGTGGGAAATCAATTAGCTATCCCAGCACCATTGTCCTGTTGCCCCTGACTTGGGAGTCACAGGTTCTTTCCTTAAATGTATCGATTGCTCTCAGCATTCACTAGCTTATCCAATATTTCTACAAAGCTCCTTTAGTCCAAGGAACCAACTCCAAATGGCAAGGAATAGTGGAAGATAATGTCACCTCCTCCTGAACTCCAGGGCAGGATTTCCATTGGCTTTCAGTGCCCTTGGACCATGCCTGCTTGTGAAACAGTCCAGGCAACTATGGCCATCAACCTACCTGGGTTTATTCAGCAATTTAAGAGTGCTGAATCATGCCTTTGATTGTAACCAAAGTTTTAAAGTTTTCTTTCATCCCAATCCTTAGGAATCAACTGCATGTGCACAGAGCAGGGGTTTTATTTTGATTGACAGGGGGTACAGGCACAGCTTGAAGGAATGCCATGTTCAGCCCACAGCTGCCAGCTGGACCATAAGAAGGTGGCATGTCTCAAAGATATCTGCTCCCCAGATACTAGTCATCATGCTGAATTGGTCTGAGTTGTCCTCGAGCACCCAGGCCAGCACCTGCTACTTGCTAGTTGCAGAAACTGCAATTTGAGTAGGAAATGGTGGTTCCGGGGCAAATAACAGAAGTGATGCCACTTGTTACTAGTAGTGCTACTTTATGTGTGTCTCAGACATACATATTTATTAAAGTTGTCTCTCCTGTTAGAATGCCAACTCCTCGAGGGCAGAAACTGGTTTTGCCTTTCTTTGCTTATCCAGCTTTATTGCCAGTGTTTTCCTGGCACAGTAGAAGCACTTAACACTTAATGATTGATTGCTTTCAAGTTTCCAAAGCATTTTATACACATTCTCTCATTTGCACCTCAATGAACAGGATACAACCCTGTACTACTTGGAAATCCTACAGGTATAATTATGCCCACTTGAGAGATGAGCAAGCTGAGATTTGGAGGGGTGACTCTGCTATGGTCATCTAGCTCATTTCAAAGGTAGGATTTAAACCCAAGCCCTCCTGATTCTGTGGCACAAGGATGGTGGGGAACTCATATCGATCCACACAAATTGGAGACTACTGCTACGTGGCTTGCAATTGCATGGCTACGTAGTCAAAGCAATAAACATTGTACCCCTCGGGAGCACATTATTGATGGGAACCAGTCCTGGCTATCCTTCTCTAAAACCCATACCAGTTTAGCTGCCTAGAAATGGGCAGGAAGTAGACTCGTTCTTTTCTGAATTACTCAGGTAGTAAGACTAACAACCTGCTAGTTAGTATTATTCTCCTCATGCCTCAACCACATTCATGTTCCACAAGTCTTGTTAAGTCACTCGCATGTGTGAAGGTGGGCAAATTACTTAACCTCTCTAGGTCTCAGCTTCCTTACTTGAAAAGTGGGAAGGACTGAGGTGATCTCCAAGGCTTTTTCCAGCTCTACGTCCTAGGATACTCCCTACATATAGCAGCCACAGTGGATGGGCAGGAAAAATATATTCTTCAATACAACTGCAACTCGCTGAGGCAGTGGAGGCCTCCTCCAGTGCCTGGCAGACAAGGAGAGGCTTACACTGGAGAGAACATGGAAGCTCTGATGAGCACAGCCTGGAATTAGTAGGAGTCTTTCCCCTAATCTACACTCTCAAGATCTTAGATGTTTGGGGGACGAAAGAGTTCAACTCTACGGCCTTCAGGGCATGGCAGATCATGCTGGCATCAGTGCAGGGTGGGAATAGGGACTGCACATAACCAACAAAAAAGGGCCAAATTTTGGGAGAACAGAGTGAGTGAAATAAAGTCAGCTCCCTGCCATTGGCTTGCTTTCCTGATCTGATACTGACCCTTCTGGGCTGAATATCTACTCCTGCAATCCAAAAGTTTTCAGTAGAACCTCATGTCTTATTGAACATCCCTTCCAGCAGTAACCTTGTGACCCTTTAAATTGTAGTGCTCCAAAGAACTTACTGAGACCAAACCAGCTGGAATCCAGAAGATAACCAGCACTCACACCAGAAAAAAAATGGGCATTTAAGTGCTATCAGGTACAGAGTGTAAAATTTAGATAAGGTAAAATTTAGATAAGAAATAGTTTCCTTCTATCAAGAAGGAACTTAAGGGTGCAGGAGAAAAGACACTAACACAAATAGCTATAATATATTATTAAACATATGCATTCCAAATTTTAAAAATAGTCCTTGGATGGTCTGGAAGAGAAAGTCAAAACTGACAAGGGGGCTTCAGGGAAGGTTACTGGAAGGAGCCATTTGGGTTGGGAAGGAAATCAACAAGCAAATATGGTAGGGAGGAGCAGATCAGGCATAGGGAAGCCTGAGCAAAAGCATGGAAATATGCAAACAGTATACATCTGGGTGGCAGAGGATAGACTTTGGCTGGGATGCCCAATATATATAAGGAAGCAGGA